GGAGACAGAGAAGGAGACAGAGCAGCTTCAGATGTGTGGTTGTTGTTTTATTCCCCCTGTTTGAACCCTTTGTGTTAAATCAAGTGTTAAATCTGACTCCGGTGATGAAGCCACTTGTTTGGAGATGCTACAAGATCTGGATCCATTCTCTGGACATTGTAGTGGAAGCCATGTGTTTTATTTTGTTTTTCCGTCTTCAGGTTCGAGAGCGAGACCTGCCGATGGTCATGCACACGCTGTCTTCCGAGTTCACGTTGCTGCGGGTGGTCAACGGGGAGACTGTTGCCGCGCACAATCTGGGAGTCACCAATGGATTCGTAAAACCTAAACTCGGTACGGCGCAAAAAATACTGCAGGATATCCGAGTAAATAAGTTCTACACAGTGTTTTCCAGAGTTTTGTGTTAATTCTGCAGTGGAAGTGAAAATGTTCAGACACTTTCAAGTCGAAAACATAATCAGAGGCGAATAGAAAACTTATCTAGGTTTCATTTTTGGTTGTCGTGCTTCAGATCAAAGTGAACTGGCAGTGAACAGCTCAGATATAAACTATCGTGGGGTGAAACAAATTGTTTGGCTCTACATGAACAGGATGTAGAACTTGAAAGTCTCTCGACCTCGGAACAAACCTCAAAACAGCCACAGTTGAGCAAAGAGATAAAGAGAAGGACAAGAATTCAAATTAAAAATGTCTTTGGAAGGTTTTGAAGTTTAGCTCTTTAGTTTATTCTCGAACTTTTTGATAGCAGCTTTTCTAAAATGTGGCGAGACTGAACATTTGTCTTTGCCATGTAGACTTTATCTAGAAGTTTTCTCTATAGCTGTGTCCCTGCCTCATGTCTTTAATCTCTGTGTTTGTCCTTCAGTGCCCCGTCCCATCATTCACCCTCTATCTAGTCCCAGCAACATGTTCTGTGTGACCAGCCTGGACCCGGACACTCTGCCCTCTGTAGCCACGCTGCTCATGGACGTCATGTTTTACTCTGGAGGGTAAGAACCTGCTCGTCTTACTTTCAAATACAAAGGTTTTTGTTTTTTTTAATTGCGGCACCGTGATGCGCTCGTCTCTGAGCTGAACATGAAAAGATTTTACTGCATCAGATGAAGAACTCAAGAATCACATCTGCTAAGTTTGAATGAGGAGCAGCAATGAAAGAAATCCATTCATGTTTGTTTTCAGCTTTTTATTCTCTGAAAGATCATTTCAAGGAAACTCACTGGCTTCACACGTGTTTCCCCAAAAAAAAAAAAGATCCTATTGACCTCCTGAATCTTTCTCGATCATGTGCGATGTGGTTACAGCAGGACGGACGGTCGACTCTCGTATCTGTTGTCCACTTTATTAAAAGATTTGAAATGCTTTGCTCATTTAAACAACACATTGTTGTTTACTTCCATCTTTGTTGCACAAGTTACACAAACACAGCATCTGCCTCTGGCTGCAGATTTGTGGTTGTGTGTTTTCCGGTCGTGCTCCGCACAATCTGAACAACAACAACGACAACAACAACGACAACAACAACAACGACAACAACAACATGATCTCCTGGAGAAACATGGTTCTTTTGTTGCTGTGGTTCGTGCGTCACAGGGCTTCGAGTCCACTGATGCCACTGAGAGCACAGTGATCTCTGTTCCACCTCAAGGACCATGTTCATGGAGAGTGAACTTCATTGTAGCTCCGCTTGTAAACAACAATACTTTCACTTAGAATCTACGAGAAGATCCTTCACAGTTTCCCACATGTCCGTAGCTCTGTCATAGTTCGGTTCCACATTGATTCCCTGAACTTGGCCCTTTTTGTTTCTCGTCTGCATTTTTTAAATATTTTGCAGTATTATGTAAATACTACTACATCACGGCCCTTCCCCGTGGCCGTCTCGTGAAAGTTACTCTCCCAGAATACGCACATCTCTCTGCCTAAGTAGTAAACGTCTCTCCGCCGCTTTTAAAAACTCAGGGTGCAGGTAACTGACCACCCCTACCTCAATGTGAGGCTGTTCAGAGACGAGACAAAACTCCAGTCACACCGAGCACTGTCCTTTCCTCCTTAGGCCCAAAGAGCCCGGAGCGTCGGGTGAAGACTCCAACCACATCCGCTTCTTCTCCTTCTCCCTGATCGAGGGCTACATCTCCCTGGTCATGGATGAACAGACGACTCAGAGGTAGGGAACAGGAAACCACCTGTGACGCACCTTCACGATGCCGGCGTGTCATTCACCGCGCTCGTTCTCTCGAGATGTTGTTTCCTCGTAGCCGAGCCTAAACTGGGACACTGGTGTTTATGCGGGGGAACAAATTTATGATTTGTTGTTTAAGGGAGCGATTAGTTTGTTGCTAAGCAATAACAGAGCAGTCGGGCGTCACAGCGGGTTTCAGTCTGACTCATTTATTCTCCGCTGCATCGCGCTCTTTATCACAGTAGAGTCTAATTAAGCAGAACGGCTATAAGGAAACCTGAGCAGCTGCAGACCCCGCGTGGCCGCTCCTTCATTAGCACATCTGATCGTCCATTCATAAACGAGGGGTCCTTTTAAATGGGTCAGGCATGACTTGAAGGCATCTGGAGGTGAAACAATAATTGGACCAAAGTTTTTATTGTATGAAGTTAATATTTGACGCTGCAGCATGTAGGTCAGCTTGTTTGTGTAAGAACTAATGTGTTGCCTTAAAGGAATAGGTCACCCAGTTCGTTCTGGTTGTTCAGAGAGTTGGACAGAGTTTACCTGCCGCTCCTCTCGTGTGTGAGTGTGTTAATAGTTTCTGCTGTTTGATAACTACAGAATCAAAGAGGCGCTTTAACCCACGAGGACATTGATAGTAGAATAAAAACATCCAGTGTCTATATAAAGTTACATTTCTCAGCCTCTGGAGCGGAAAGTTTGAAATGTTTGATAGTTTAGAAGATTTGTCTTTTATTGTAAATCATTTCCATTTCCCTAAACTCACTATTATCCTCCTCCTCCTCCTCTTCCTCGTTCTTCCTCCTCCTCCAACACGTCATTGACACTCTCGCCCGTGCCTCTTAGATCGTCAGCTTGATATACTTTGTGTATAATTATACTTTTACTACATTTTATATGAAAGAAGAACAATCTTTTTTCATTTGGTTTGTTTTCTTCAAGGTTTCCAAACAACGTGCTCTTCACCAGCGCTTCTGGTGAACTTTGGAAAATGGTTCGTATCGGGGGACAACCTTTAGGCTTCGGTGAGCAAGAGTTTCTTTTTCTTAACGAGGCGGCTCGTTACGTGAAACTAAATCAGCCCAGGAAGTAATGAAGAAAGAACAATCTGTCTTTTTGTTTGTGTCTGCAGACGAGTGCGGCATCGTGGCTCAGATATCAGAACCTCTGGCAACAGCCGACATTCCAGCGTACTACATTAGCACCTTCAAGTTTGACCACGCCCTGGTGAGAGAGGATCACAACCCTTTAAATATTCTGTAGGATCAGTGGATCAGCTCGCTCCGACAGCTGATCAGTTACAAGTTAAAACCAAGTCTGTTCTGATACCCTGACGGTGACTGAGCCTCGTGTTTTCTCCAGGTTCCCGAGGAAAACATCCAAAGTGTGATCGGAGCTCTGCGGACCGAGAGCACGTCGCAGTGAGGGGAAACCACGAAGGCGAGCGTTTTCAGAAGTCACTTAGTTCAAACGTTTATCACGTCCAAAAAGTGCCAAGAGCGTATCAGCGGACGACGGAGGACTGGCTCCGAGAGAAGGAAGAGGTGCAAGCACAGAGTGAGGGTGGAGGTTGTTGTTTTTCTTTCTGACAGTGTGACACTCCCTTCTTCTTTTCTCCTCCACTGCTCTGGTAGTTGTTGCTTTAGTTTTCCCCCCGACTGACTTTCTTCTCCTCTCTAAAGCTGCTTATTCCCACTCCCTGCCCCTCGTGAGCACCATACTGTATTAGTTACATCATTCCTCTGATGGAAGGATGACGAATGTACTCTGAAAAAACAGACAGAGATATATACATATATATATATATATATATATGTGTGTATATATCTCAAGTTCTCAATTTCTTTTTTTGGTTTGGTTTGGTTTTTGTTTTTCCACAGGTCATTTTCTCAGTGCCAAGATGTTTGATGCCTGATTTGATGCCTTTGTCAAAATACTTTACATGTGTGCAATTGAAGGAGACAATTTCGGCGTCGACGGGCGTTTTATGGTTTGTTCGTTTTGCTTTTATTCGCTGCTGAACATGTTTTAATGACAGAAACTAGACTCTCAGACTTCAGAGGTTAAATTCAGTCGTCTGGTGAAACATGAAGTGAATCGTGATCTCGATTGAGAAGTTCATCTGTTAGCGCTTCTGTAAGTTTTATTCTTTCGCACTGTGAGCAACTTGGTCAGCGGGACAGAATCTGCAGAATGTACCGATGCAGACAAATCCTTTTTTTATTTATCGATCGGTAATTGATTTTTTAATGATTCTAAGCTAGAAAGCACATGTGATGCAACGTTAATCAATGACATCAGAGTTGCACTTGATTAGTTTATTGAAAGAAAAAATAATGAAATGTTTGATTTAATCATTTAATTTCCTTTTACAATATTTTTTTCTTTTACATGGTGAATTAAATCTAGATAGAACGTAGAGAGGATCTCACCAGCTGTTAATGCTCGGACCTGTGAGTACACAGTATTCATATACTACTATACTGCATATATATATATAGATATATTCACATCTGCAATGTGAATGGATACAACAGCGTTCACCTCCGGGTCATTGTAGTAGAACAAGACAGAGAAAGAATTGCTTAGCTTAGCTTAGCATCACAAACAGGGAAGCAGTAGCCTGGCGAGGTCTAAATTAAAAAAAGAAAATACGACTACAAGCAAAAACTCTAAAGGGAACTAACAGATCTTTTGAATAATCTCAGCGCTAACGAATGTGAAATCAATGTGTTCTGTTTTTAAAGGCTCCTCCAGAACACGTGAAAATCTTTTCCGGACACGTTTGGTGATGAAGTTGCTCACAGTGTGGATCCGCAGTGAGAACCTGACGATAAATCCCACAGTGAAAAAATGTTTGCATCGGTCATGATAAAATTACTGAGCCACTTTGAAAGTGTACTACGATGATGACGAAGCATAAGCTAAGGTTCAAACACGGGGGGGGGGGTTCCCTCCGAGCCCTGGTGTCCGTGTCGGTGTTGAAGCTGCCGCCCCTGCCCCCCCCCCGCCCCAGTCTGCACTTTAACGCAGGTTCACCCCCGCAGGCCTGCTGTCATGATGTGAAAACGGGGGGGAGGGCGATTAACTTGAGAAAGATTCTGTCCACGTGGGGAGATTTCTGTCGGTCTTAAGCATTTGGTGATGATGTTTTTCTTTCACGACACCTTGCACCTGACAGCATCCGTTCTCCTGACCGGCTCTGATCGGCAGAACTCATATTTATCAGTGTTAATACGTGAGGAAGTCACATTTCTTCTGGTTCCATTTCAAAGAAAACGTCTAAAGCTTTTCATTTGGAGCTTCTTGTGTGGAAAAAAAATAAATAAATAAACAAGCTTCTTTTTTGAGCTTGACGCGTGTTCAGTTATTTTCTTTCTTTCTCATGTTTGCTCAGCGATGTGTTCTCTTCTTCTTCTTCCATCCTGCTGTGTTCTTTAATCACTGTGGTCTTCCAGATTAAATGTGAATCAGATTATCCAGTCAATCTTTCTTGTATTTGCCATAAACATAAAACGACACTAAAACATTATCTATGAATTAATATAATGTATTCGGTGAATTTCTAATAGAACCATTTTATCAGTCGAGCATGAAGGACTTTGTTTTTACGGAAGTGTATTTCATTCACTT